ATGCATGTAGATGTCGGTCGGTGGTCCAAACTGACATGGAGCGCCCAACATTGAACTTGACCAGACCTGACCTGCGAGGTGCCAAGAAGGCACCCGCCCTGTGCCTGACCTTGACCCCCCTGCCCTGCCTCCTGCCCCCAGGTGCCCCCTTGCCACCCCCCGCGACCTCCACCTGAGCTGTCTTTTGTTGCACGTATTGACCCTGGAGCGGCGAGGCCTGACAAGCTCGATACTAGTAGTAGTACTGGCATTGGGAATTTTGCACCGAGTCCTTGACCCCAAAAATTGCATACCCCATCTGCATCTGAACGCCTCAACTGCTAGAGCGGACGGCTGCAGCAGATAATGACGCAGGCCTGCGCGGACTCATTGCGAGACCACACGAGGCGCCTCAGTGCCGGCTCCCCCCCGGCCGCCTGGAGAGGCTACTTATGTACTTACTGCCCGCCGCCCCTACCCGCCGATGGCTGGCCAGGTACTCAAGCGCGCAGCCCAATACTACCGGTTGACATCAACCACTAATAGTACATGCAGTAACTTGTGTACCACCATTGACCACCACAACCACCACCACAACCACCACAACCACCGCTACCAGACCAGACCGCCGCTGGCACTCCTTGGTCTGCCTCAATGCCCCAGTCCCGTTCGCCCGCTGGTCTTCCTCCCCCTTTGTCATCTTCAAGCGCCTTTGCTCCACCTCAGCCTGGCCTGTGCACCCGCGAACCGACTACAGCCAACAATCGCCTTGTCCTCTCGTAACCACGACGGTTCATCATCAAAAACTCAAAACACACCCCCAAGGGCGAGCACGCCTATATTTCCCACATCGCCCTCCCAGCTTCGGACTCTGCTCTCCCCCTTTGCGGTACCTTTGCCTGGCAAGCTCGTCCTCAACATGATGAGCTTCGATGGCGGCACGGCCTACGCCGAGTCCGACGCTGATGACGAGTACGAGCGAAGCATGGGCGACCACTCCCCCGTTGGCGATTCCGAGGCCTCACCCATCGACTCCGAGTTATCGACTTCCGCAGAGCATACGCCCACCACCTACGCACATCGCAGCAGTGCTGACCGATTGCCTGAAACCATCATCACCGAATGGAATGCCGACGAATGTGCCGACTTCATCTCCACCATTGGCCTGCCGCAGTACGCCGATGCCTTTGTTGGTACGTTGACGAACCAGCTCCGGACCACCACTTGTTTCTTTCTGGAAGCCCATCAGCCAGAATCAGAGACCGCAATCCATTGTTCCAGAATCTTCACTGACTGAACCGCCGCTTTGTGCGTTTGCTTCCGCAGAAAACGAAATTGTTGGCGAAGCCCTGGTCGCTCTGCAACACGAAGACTTGAAGAGCATGGGCATTGCCAGTGTCGGCCATCGATTGACAATATTAAAGAGCGTCTACGATGTGAAAAAGGCACAAGATGTACCGATTGAGAGCGATCACTACTTCCCGCTGTGTACGGTACCCCTCCGCCTTCTTCCCAACCCTTCAGAAATACCTCGTGCCATCCAGATCAAAGGCTCCCCCCTTTCTCCCCACAAAAATAAAGAACAATGAGCAGATGCAAAGGAAATAACCATTTGCTAATTGTCGGATGATACAGCTGCCGATGCTGAAGCTCAATACGCTACAGCCACTCTCAAAGACATCAAGCACCTTGTCGAACAGCTGCGATTACGAGACGAGCGAATGAACCTGTTGGAACAAGACTTGCGACGTATGACGGACGATTTCAGACGACTCAGGGAAGATATGCTGCCGGCTCTCCGCCTCGTCAAAGACCAGCAGACACCACTGCCAAACCTCAGTGGCGGCGCCCTTGGACAGGGGTTTCCATACGAAGCCACGATATCTCCTCCTGCACCTACACCGCCACCAGGCTCTGGCCCAGGAGGCGTCAAACGACAGTACTCACAACGAAAAATCCTCATAGGCGCAACCCCCAAGAACGCTTCACCTACTCAAGTAGCCCACGACAGGTCCATTGCTGAACAAACGCTGGATCCTTCCAGCGCCGCCGAACGGGCCGTCCTGTCGTCGTCACATCTTGCGGCAATGAACGGACAGACATCGTCGGCGCATCCCTCACCAAATATGCCCTCGCCAACATCACCGCCAAACTATTCTAGCAGCACTACTTTGGGGGCACGATCCTATCGAGGGGAAACGTCTGCACCATCAAATCGATCCACAATGAATGATGCGGACCATGGCATGTACATGTCCAGGGACAAAGGTGTTATCCCCCCGGGTCCACCTAGACGCCGCGAGACCCCTGTTCCCGACACCCCGACGCCAAATTCGAATGGATCTTCTGTTGAAATATTCAAATCTTTTCGAGTCAGCATGGATGATCCGTGCTACAAGGTACTCCCGGCAGCGCTCAAGAAGTATCAAATCAACGCCCCGTGGGACCAATACGCCTTGTACATTGTCTACGGCGACCAAGAGCGGTGTCTTGGCATGGAGGAGAAACCCCTGATTCTGTTTAAGCAACTTGACAAAGAAGGCAAGAAGCCCATGTTTATGCTCCGGAAAACCACAAACGCCCAAGTTGACAGCGAACCTGGTAGTGCTGGCATAGCCAATGCAGCCAGAGGGGCGTCCACTGGCTATGATCCACCTGGAGGCATTATATGAGGGCGACGCAGCTGCTGATATGCAGTCTGTTCCGGTAAATGCGGCCAATCGGATTTATTGTGTCAGAGACGGAGGGTATTGGAGTGTTCGCTTCAACGGGCCAGCCAGTTCAAGCGTGTCAAGGAATTGCGCTGGAGAAGTGAGGAGACCATCCAGCGGACATGAAATTCCCCAAAGGTGCTTGTGCAGGTGGCAGTTGCTACGAGCTTCCGCATGATTGATGGTCTGGGACACGATAGTCTCGAAGATTTGCGGGCTCGTGCTACTCTGAGGCTCTTGGAAGCTGCACCCATGGCACATTTTGACTTACATGGTGTGGCTTTTGCGCCTCGAGATGCCAAACCCCTCTGAAGCCTACTCCAACCTACTTGACGCTAACCTCAGCCATTACTTCTGGCACACCATACTACTCCTCATACCACCCGTGCACCCCATGGCATTTTTCTACTCGTCTTCTTCTTCTTCTTTTTTTTTTTTTTGCACTTGTTGTTTACGCGAACATACCTTGCATAGCAGCTCTGGCATTGATTGACCCTCACTCCACACCTCTCTGTCATGTTGACAAGAAAATTAAGTGATTGGTTATCTTGATTGGATGGGACAAAGGAAAGGCGTTTGGGCTGGGCAAAGTTGAATAGTATATGATGTATGACGTCTGCGGCAGAAATTGGGTTTTTTTTGTTCTCTTTTTGAATACACTTTACCATTCCGATGAAAGAAGTTGCCTGGTAACATAATACACGTGGGAAGTAACGGAATGACAAGTTGGATAGAGGATGCGGCAGTGTCTACGGCTGAAAAGGACAAGGACGTACAATGACATTGGACTAATACCTGAATGGAAAAGTTGATGTTGATGACGGGGCTCGCGTGTGGCCTTGGCTCTTCTACATTATGGACTACAGGGAATGCCATGTGCGTCGATTGAATGCACGCCATTGCATGTAGAGATGATTTGGAGTGTCGAGAGTCACGACTCCAGACGTCCCAGGAGACGTCCATGCGAAAAACCCACCTGCAGCATTAAGCGGGAGCCTCCAATAAAACACCAGACGCCTGCCTTGCCATCATGGCGCAGTGAGATGGATGGCCCCATGTCCCGACTAATGGGAAGCAGCCCGACGTGACCCTCACACCCAGAACAGGATCTCGATGGTACTTGACGTGATGGACGCATTTGAAGTCGACAGTGTATGGATATGGGACAAGAGGACATCTGGATGAAGCGGACTTTTCGGCGTTTTGCCATGGCACCCGTGGACCACGCTGGGCCGGTATTCACAGCTAGTCTGGTACTAGTACTACTAGTAGTTTCCGTCAACATTGAATGGAGGCGGCGGGGCGAGACGGATGCCATTGATTGATCGTTGATTGACTGCAGTCCGGCCGGTAGTCTATCGACGGTGGGCGCATTCTAACTTTAACTTTGCACCTGGGCGGACCGGTCGAGTGTCTGGAGTCTGGACAGTCGCACGGCTGTCGACAGCGGGCAGACCCCAGGCCATCATTCATTCATTCATCCCCCTGGCCGCACCAAACTCGGGCCTCCTCAACTCGGATCTGGGCATCAAATTCTTCCGGCCCATTTATCCTTGGATTGATGCGGGTTATTCCCGAGCCTGCACGACGGCTACGAGGGAGAGGTTAGAGGTTCACGGTTAACTGGTACGACGAGGGTCGATGGCCAAGCCGCCGCCGTCCATCTGCAACCCTCTTTTCTCGCGTCGAGGTCATTGGCGCTGCCAAGGAGGAGGCTTCGCATCGCCCGCAAGCACAGTCGTCGCCAAAGCCCTCTGATACGCGCATCCGAGGCGGGCGGTCAATGGTCATAACCGCTCTCTGCCCAACACATCCATCCATCCACCTTCCGGAACTGACAGCCGTGGTCTGGGAAAAGAGATTCCGTCTCCAGATTGTCCCATGGGGGAAGGGGAGGGACACACGACCTGCCTCCTCCATTCACCTTCCACCGACCAGCGTCTGTCTTCTGAATTGCGCCCGGGACACAGGAACGCCCAGCATTTGACTTTTTGCGCAACCGCTCAAAACCAACGGCATGAGTGCGGCGACGTTGGACCCGTCGTCATCGAACCCCGTTCCGCCTGCCTGCGATTACCGTCACTCATGACCGGATAGGCAAATTGTTTAACAGTTTTTTTTTTTTCACGTAGACAAGTTTTGCCCCTGGCCTTAGTTGCCAGGGCGTTATACACCACCCACTGACATATACGCATCACTATCAGACGAGAGACATCTACAAGAATCGGAGAGCGGGGCCGAGAAGGCAGGAGAAAAAGAAGAACAGGAAGAAGAAGACGAAGGAGAGAGAAGGGCGAGGAATCAGCAACCATGACGAGCACAAACGTCACCAGCGGCACCGCGTCGGTTGCGACCACGCCATCGACGACGCCGACGCCAACCTCGTCGGGGGGCGTGCCTACAACGTGGCCCTCGACCACGTACACGCTGCCGACGATGACGTCTTGGGGATCAACGCCAAACGGGTTCGGCGACTTCAATGTCGGCGACAGGATCTTGCAGCTCGTCACTAGCGGGTCGAACGGCGAGAAGATTGTTCGCGGCTTTCTTATGGGCGTTGCCATCGGCATCATTCTGGGCGGCGCGGTCTGCTGCTGGGTTCCGTGTTTCGGGAGAGGCAGGCAGCAACGGCGGGAAAGGAGGAGACAGCAGCGAGAGCAGGCCCAACGACAGACCCGTGATGAAGCGCAGCAGCATCAAGGCGGCCAGACGGACGGCCAGGCGACGACGGCAGCAGCACCTCAGACCGAAGATGCGCCGGCCGCGGAGAGGAGCTACATACGCCTACGTTGGGATCGTCTTCGACGGCGGCAGAGGGTTTAACCGGGGACGGCGGAATTGCGCTGGCCATGGCTGTGTGCAGTTCTGGCCCATGGGATGGAATACTCTTTAGCGGATAGGTTCTTATCAGTCACAAGACACGAGATGGTCTTTTTTTTTTTTTCATCTTCATGGTGTGGCCAAGGTTGGTTTGAATACAATGGCGTTTTAGGGCACTACGGGAGCGGATACAGCGTTTTAATGACACTCGCACGAAGACTTATACACAGCAGCGGAGCGTGATGAGAGCACTTTTAGGACATTACACGTTTAGAAAAGATAGAAAGAACATGTCAACCATTATTCAAAGTCGCTCGTGGCCCTGCCGAGCCCAGCAGATGGCCGACGCTTCCTGGTCGCGTGCCACGACAACATGGCCAAGGACACGGCGTGACATGTCGGCGGTGCTCCTCGTGACCCTTTTGCGCGGCGAGCAGCAGAAGTATAGCCGGCAGTACAAGCATGGCAAAAGGCTCGGGCAAGAAACAGAAATCCCAGGATACTGCCTGGGGAATTGCAAAAATAAAAATAAAAAAAGACATGTGGTGAGGCACGGGCCGCTGGCCTCGCCACATAAAGCACAAAGGAGGGCCCTCAGCCCCGACTGCCACGTGTGATGGATTCGTCAGAGTAAGACGATGCTGTCGGTCTCGAGTTCATGCCGTGCCCCGGGTGCGTCTGGACAGCGAGGCTGGAGGGTCAATGCCGTGAGGAAGGGTCGTCATGGCACAGCCTCGGAATGCGACGACGGACGCTCTGGCCAAGGCGCTGGGAGTCGGAGTCGCTGGTGGCGCAGCCCAGAGCAAATGACGTACTACTTAATGTATCAATCTTTTTTCTACATTGGCTGTACGGAGTGGCCCGTCAACTGGTACCTTTTCCTGCTTTACGATAGTATGTATGTACATGCGCTGACAGAACCCCACCATCAATGATGGATCCTGCTGCGGGTCACTGGTGAGCAGTTGACGTGCGCGGGCGGCTGCGCGTCAGTGTCCGGAGTCGAACATGCTCTCAACATCCCTGTCCATCCTGCAACGCAGTTGTGCTCTTGTTTCCATCTTTAGCGGCGAGAGTCGTCTCTCTTTTCCCTCTCGGCATCTTGGTGAGCTTGGTCTTTTTCTCTCTCTTGAATATTTCGTAACCTAGCGCTTGACGGCAACGACGCCCCTACAAACTACAACCATAAAACGCATACCACGCACTGCACTGCACGGCCTCATTTCCCTCGGACCAGGCAGAGACGTTGACGGGCACGCCGCCGCAAGCTTCGCGACAAAAATGCTCGACGATAACCTCCCCACGTTTCGACTCCGGCAATCCTCCGACAACCCCCAGAACACCCTGCTTTACTTCACACACAACGGATCCGAGCCCTCGCCCGAATACCTGCTGAAGCGACCGCTGCCGTCCGAGTCCCGGAACCAGTACGCCCTCGGCCTGCTCGACGTGAACCACCCCTCTGTGATATACGCCGAAGTCCTGCTCAAGCCCGAATGGACCCAGCCGAGTCTGTCGGCTGCCGAGCTACGGGCCCAGAATGGCGTTTCGACGCCGTTCCCCATGACGCCGGAGGCTTTCAACGTGCTGCTGTATAATCCGGACCAGAGCATCGCCGTCAAGCGAAACCATGGCAGCTGGAGCAAGTCCAACACGTGGGACCTTGAGGTCCCCGAGCGGAGCTTCAAGGTGCCCAGCTCGAGCCAGATCGATAGGGATACCACGCCTGCCATTCCGGAGCTGGCCCCCAAGGTGGTGTTTCGGTGGAAAAAGGACGGCCGTCTGAGCAAAGACATGACGTGTTACATGTCTGGGAGAAGTGTGGGCGGGAAGAAGAGCAAGGAGCCCGACATCACGATTGCCATGTTCCAGGCAGGAAAGAATGAGAGCGCCGTGACGATTTACGAACCCAACATGGCTCGTGTCGAGGTCGAGGACCGCAAAGGCCTCGAAGTGGCCCTGATACTGAGCGCCGAAGTCATCCGCGACCTGTATCTCGTCCCGCGGCAGGACCCGTTCAACACGACAGGCGGACCGGGGCCATCTGCTCCAAAGACGTCGAGGCCATCGGCGTCGCCGCCGCAACAGATGCCCATGGCGTCTGGGGCTCTGGGCCCCGGAGTCTCCCCCGCTGTTCCAGGAGCAGGCCCTCCGGCCCTGCAATCAAGTGTCGACGCCGAGACGAGACGTCTGCAAGCCATGGTGGCGGAGGAAAAGCGCCAGGCACGAGAGCGCGAGAAACGAGACGAGGAGGAGCAGAAGAGGATCCGAAAGATGCTGGAACAAGAGGAAAAGGAACGTCGCAGACGCGAGGCCGAGGTCGAAAAGGAGACGGAGCGTCTGCGCAAACAATACGGCGTCCCGGCACCCCCCACTGGAGGACCGCCCGGCTCTTCGCCAGCGCTTCCTCCACGGCCCGGTCAAAATCAGTACTACGCCTCGGGCGGTCTGGGCTCGGGACAACCGCCCATGCCCCCGCGTCCCAATAGCGTGGGACCTCCGCCGCAGCCGGAATCGTCGAATGCCGGTGGCAGGAGGAAGCATTCGGGTCCGTTTGGGGGAAGCGTCAGCGGGCTCTTCCATAGATCTGACGAGGACAGGCGGAACAAGGTGGAGAAGAAGAGGAGTGTGTACTTTTGAGACGGGCGGATGTATTTTTTCTTCTTCTTCTTTTCTTTGAGGAGTGGTGTCTGCATGGCTAGCGGTATTTTTTTTTTCTTGTCTTATTTTCGTCATTTGGATGGGTATACCTTGGGATATTTGTATGACGACTTGATATGAAGATGGTTTCGACAATGTCGAGTGTGTATAGCGACTTTGGAGATTTCGCAAGAGCACGGTATGCGGCGGAATTATACTTGGCGTGGCCCCTTTACGCTGGCTTTCTCCGGGAGTGTTGCTACCCTGACGTGCTGCCCTGTTCGGGATACTCGTCTCTGTAAGTGTTTGTGTTTTGTAGGCCGTCGTCACTGATATGTGTGATGGGTGTTTGCTTGCGGTGCTCGTCTTTCTTTGTTGGGAGACACGCCTGGCCGGTCTTGGCGACGCTGTGCATATGTATGAGGTGCTGCCGGCTGGGGGCCTATCTGTCGCTTGACCAGAACCTGGCGCGATTCGGGCCTCGCTGCGAAATTCACAACGGGACACATGGCTGGGGTGCGTGCATCACCGGGCTCTGGTCACCCCTGGCTGTTGTATCGTGTGTCTGCACGTCGGCGGCCCTTGGCGCCTGGTTCGTCCCCCGCCGCCGCGTCATGTCTCGCAGCTCAAGCGTGGGCGTCTTGCGCGGGGGGGATTGCGCGCGCCGCGTCTGGATGTACGTGAGGTCGCTGGCGAACATGGTAGCGTTTTGGCGCGGCAAGCGCCGTGGTGTTGTTGCGCGGGGGGGTTTGTACTTGACGCGTCGAGTCAAGTTTTATATAAATTGTTCGCGGGGTGGCATGCAAGTCTATAGGCCGTGAATAGCGCCACCTTTTGTTTTTGTTCTTTTGGAACTGTTGGGACTCGCGGCGACGCTGCACACTCCTGGCTGGCTGGGAACATTGGATTGTTGCGTTTTTCATGCATGGACGGCATATTCTGGACGTGAGCGTGTTGGGTTGTATTTCCGGGGAGCGCTGTGTGCGGTCTTGTCTGTGGGTGAGGAGGATACGGGCATGTCTCATGAGTCTGAGAATTCAGACGGCCAGCTTGTCCATTCTGACGCTATTCCTTTTGACCGATTTTGCGGGACTTTGACAATGAATAGACCTATTGGACAGGAAGCGACATGTAATGCAAGAGGTACTCCGTACTCGGGATGTATAATGTCGGGGTGACCTGGGGACCAGACCGTCGAATCATCCACCACGACACGATGGTATAACGTGCATTCATTTCATTGCTACATGTTAAATAGTATATAAATCCGACCTGGACAGTCTGATGCGCCGGTGTCGATAAAGATGATGCGACGCCGCGATGGCTCATTTCCCTACCTCCAAACGCCCATAGATATGCATGACTGCTCTGCTCCGTCCAAAGCAACCCGCTCTCTCTTCCCATCCCGTGTGCGTAAATTATCATTGGCCGTCTCCAGTCACCTGCTCTTGATCTTTTCCAGTTTCAAATCATTAATCAGCATATATCTGCTGAATGCGATATAAAAGTACCTAAACCAAACCATCTGGCTCCTGTGCGCCTGCGTCATGGCGCCCCATGCCGTCGGCAGCCCGCCCTCGCCGACGAGCTGGTTCATAAAGACGAGGCCGCCCGGGTGCGCCTTGTCCTCGTGCCGCACACCAACCGCCCACGAGGCCATGGTCGCAAAGACGTCGAGGAACGCCGAGTACTTTCGCAGAATGTTGACGGAGCGGAGCGTGTAGAGGTCGACCGGGCAGGCCCAGCCAGACTTGCCGCGCATCAGGGCGCCCACGAAGGCGCGGGCGCCGTGGAACAGGGAAATGTGGTTTGGGTGCGACGACACGCCGCTGCCGTCAAAGGTGATGAGCACGTCAATGTTGGCGGTTGGCTTGGCCGAGTCGTCGGCTCGCTGGCGGCCGAGCTGCGGCGCAAAGGCGCTGCACAGCAGAGTCGCGATTCGGGATTCGTCCCATTTCGCAGTCATGGAGTCGGGAAAGTCGGCGCTAGAGCGACAAGACGAGCTGTTAGCCGATGGAGGTCATTCCGAGGGTACCATGGGCGTGATCATGATGGAAAACATACGGGTTGTCCACTACGAAGACATCATCCTCGTCCCTCAAACCCAGGTGCATACCACTCTTTACGAGTTCCTTCTTTCTAGTCTCTCCAAGGCCGTCCGCGTTGCCTGCAAATACAATTAAAAAAGGAGTTGCGTTAGTGCTTGCTTGCGCCATTGGCTCCCACGAGGGCATGGAGGCTGTTCGTACCGGTGCTCAAACACAGAATCTTGACGTGGTTTCCAGTCTCGGGCCGGGTCAAGGCCAGGACGGTCGGAGCAAAGAACATGGCCTCATCGTCGGGGTGGGCAATGAGCAAGCAAATGCGCTTGTTCCGCACGGCCGGGAAGCGCGACTGCACGACGCTGACGGTGTACATGTACAAAACAGGAATCACCACCACCAGGGTCGCCAGAAGACCGAGGGTACGGTCCATCCCGGCGGCAGAGGGTTGGTGGTGATTTGTTGAGGGGGTCCGGACGGGCTGCGTTCAGAGAGGGTCGAAGACGACGAGACGGTTGAGCAGTTGAAACTTGACAGCGCGGAAGCGCGGAGGGGCGCAAAGGCTGCCGCCACGTTTGCGACGTGCAGGGAAAGGAGCTTTAATGTTGGGAGCTTGGGAGCTTGGGAGCTTGCTTGTCTTGCTTGTCTTGCTTCAATGGCACTCGAGAATGCAGTCGATGTCGAGGAGCCGGGTACGGCCACAACAACAAGGGAGCACGCGATAGAGTGAGAGTGGGCAGACGTACTCTGTACAATGTAAAATGCCACCTTGCGACTTTGGTCAACTTGGCCATTCCGGACCCTGTCCTCTTTTTTCTCTCGTGAGTCCAGGCGGCTGCTCAGCCCCTGGCTGGTTGAGCAAGGTCCGGTCCAAGGTCCAGCTCCAACAACCGTCAAATTGGACCAGACCAGACATCAATCATGATTCTGCGTGCTAGCCGCTTTCTGATTAGGAGCTTGTCCGGGGAATTCTTAGCACGGGACCAACAACCGCCAGGGGTCCAATGGATCGCCGTGGCCAAGCCCAAGACATTGTACAAAGCACGGAGAGAGTACTTGGAGAAAGGGGAAAGGAAAGGCTGATAGCCACGTACATACAATACATGCAGAATACACACAGTCAGTCATGGTACAAAGGATCAGAAAGCTCCATCAGCTCCATCAGGTACGGAGTACATAAAGTACCAATTTCTTGCATGAACCAACGTGGGTATTTCTATCGCTGTCTACTCCGTACTCCGTACTCAAGTACTGCTCTTCCCCCTGGCAGGCGCATTCGGGCTGGTGCAGCGTAATACGTACCACCGTTGGCATGTACATGTACCCCTTCAACGGTCAAGTATTGACTTTACTGTGGTCGTTTCTCGAGGTCGTTTGTCCGATGGTGCCGGTCCGGCGCTGCTGATTGGCGGTGCCATCTGTACAGTCCGCTGATGTCAGTGCCGCCAATCTCCCAGGCACCACAAGTTCAATCTTGAGTCTTGCTCAGCATCGTGCAACTACGTCGTCACGAGACACAACTTCAATTACTACTCCAAAGTCCCTCCCACAGTGCGCGCTTCCACACTTGATTGGCCAATTGTGCCAACCACCCATCCCTTGTCCAGATCAACAACTGTCGACCGATTAAGTTCTGCTGCCTCTGGGAACAGACATCATCATCACGATTCACCATGGTCAAAACACGCAAGGAGCGAGCTGGCAATGCCCACGTCAAGCTTCGCCAGCCTGATCGGTCTGGGCCAACAGAGAAGACTCTACTCGACTTTGCCCACGAGCAGAATTTATTTCAGCAGGTCCAACAGCGGGAGAAGGAGATGGCAAAGGAAAGGAGAAAGCAAAGCATCGCAGACGGTGATGATGACGACGGCGAAGTTCCTACCTTATCTCCCGGTGCAGAGCGAGCCCTCGAAGCTGCTTTATGGACCGCTACCATTGCTATGCTTCACTTCACCTTTGACGTGCTGGTGCAGCATCAGTATGGCCAGGAGATTAGCTGGGCGCATGTCTGCACAAGAACAGGCCGTGCCTGGCTAGGTACGATTTGCCCTTGATTTCCTCATGAAGCACCTGCATCGATTTTGACAGAATTAACTAACCTTTTTTTTTTGTTGCCCAGTTTTTCTATTTTTATTTTATTTCCTCCACCCATTCGAATCCGATGCTGTCTTGCTGCCAGGGCTGCCGGGCCGATATCAGCGGCCGCTAAGACAATCAATCTTCTTCATAATGGGCGTTGCGTCAGGATGCTATCTCATTTATATTTCCAACACCTATGGGTATTTGGCTACCATGAAGCAAGCACCGCCGCTGGGATGTTTGTGGCTCTGGGCTGTGGTGGAATTGGACCTCGTCTGGGGCTGCCTCAGTCTGCTGCTTGCTGCAGTCTTCCTCAAGCAAGGAGGCTACGAAATTAAATAGAGAACGCCGGACCGGAAGAGATGATTTAGGCTGACATTTGCCAATTTTCGTCATCTAGTGCTACTACAGATACACGGCGGTTTCCTGCGTACGGATTCGTGGTCAGATTCAGGGCTATCCAACCGGACAGCATCCCGACCATGGACGAGAAGTTGTTGCACTAGGGTTTCCAGACGGTTGTACTCGCCCTTCCGACTTTCGACTACTCCATCCATCTTTCTTGAATTCTCATCTGCCTTGAATTCTCCCCACTTCGTCCTCGCCTCCAGGTCACTCAGACGAGACGAAATCATGCTCATCTGAAGAAACTGCACTCTTGCAGTCAATGCCTCCCGCTGCCGCAGGAGCTCCAGCGCCTTGGTCCGCACCGACATCCAGGCCATGCCGACAGAGGGGGTGCTTCGCTGCCAGCTCGGCACTAGTGTCCACCGATCATCTCGATTGCCTGGTCCTCGCGGTGTGCTGGCCTTGGACTCGACTTCTGTCACAAGGTCCAATAGCCGTTGCTCTAGGTTAATCAGATCCTCCATGACAAAGGTGTACATCTGATATTCCCTTTGGCGGCTATGAGCACCACCGTCATGTGCGTACTGGACCCCCAATGTTCTCAAAAGGTCGCTGAGCCACGTAGACTCAGTTTTGTACCACGACAGCGAGGTCTTGACTCGGAAGTATTCTTCATCGCTGTTGCGGAGATAGTTGAGACGCGCGTATATTGCTGCTGAAATGGCAACGACAAAGGTCAAAATGCCGACAATGTTGGATGTAGTTGAGAGCGGCGAGTCTTGCTGGGCATTGGAGTCCATTCCGGCTGAGACCAGGCGGGACCAAAACTATTTGCCATGTGCAATGATGATGGCCAGGACGAATCTCACTGTAAGCTCGTGGCAATGAAACAAAGTGGCCGTGGAGCTAGTACGGTAAATAGCTGCGTTTTAACTCATGGCGTATGAAGGGGCATTTAGTGTCCCCTGAGATGCATGCACAAAAAGTCCATCTCGGCAAGGATCGTGCAGCGGCCAGAGGAGGTAGGCTCTCAGCTCTTGCTCATCACGTGACTTGATGTTGTTCAGAAGTACATACACATCTCGGCTCCGGGTTGGTAAGTTACAACGTAGATGCGTTTTGTGTCGTGTCATGAATATATGAGATTGTGGAACTCATGGACTGGCCCTGTCCTGTTGGGGTGTTTGGCATGTTGCGCGAGACGTGAGGCACATGAGCACAAAGCTGTGCCAAGGCGACAAAACAACTGGACCCGTTTACCGAGATATTGAGAAAGCAAGCCCATGTGAAAGACGGCAAGGGCCTCCTCGTGATGTTGTGCTCGATGATTTGATGAGAAGACTTGGCCAAATTGCGAACTTTTTCAAGAATGGTCTTGTTGAATTCAAGAAGGGGGAGGGACATTGGCGACTGCTTGTACTCGTTGCCAACATTGAATACATGGGATGTAGCTGCCAGCTGTGATACCACTATTACTATTGAGTTATGGAGCAGACGGTGAAGAGCTGGGTCTTGGAAAACCGTCCTCACTTGCCAACGACTGCAGGGATACTTGAGGCTATATAGCCTCTTTGGGGTCTGGTGATTGGAACAGAGGTTCGCAGACCTAGGGGTACTACAAAGAATCAATCGATGGTACGTACCTAGGTACGCAGCAAGTCACTGGCTCAAGTCATTCAGCGATTGAAGCAAGTGCATTGTACTACAGGATGATGGCTCAATTTGACCCCGCGCGTAAATATACATGTACTGATATAATTATAAATGCCTCGTATAAATTCGCTATGCAACGCGTATGCATCCACCATGTATGCCTAACCATCCTCATAATCTCACACTTCTACCGCCGCATGATGCAACCTGACCGTGAAACAAGGACGGCGAAAATATTCTTGTGAAATGAAAACATGGAAACAAATCTATACCCTCTTCGCAACACGACTCACGTAGCCTTTCTCTGGGGCTCTGCGAATCGAATGCCTTTCCTCGCGGGGGGGACTCTCTCCGTTCCTTCGTCCTCAGAGTCGCTGTCTTCCTCAGCCGCGGGGCCACCCATTCCCAAGGCCGCCTGGCGTCGGCGTCTTTCTGCAGGTGTTTCGCCAGTATCGTCATTTCCCTTGTCGTCGTCTTCAGCCTGACGGGTAAGGACTGCCAGCCGGCGTCTGCGCTCAACACTGGTCTCGCCTTGTTCCTCGGATGGATGGTCGCGTCGACCGCGAGGAGGCTCGGTGACTTGGGGTTGCTTTCGAGTCGGTGACATGGATACGGAACGTTTTTCTGCAGCACGGCTGCTTTCCCCGTTGCTGCTGCCACTGCCACTGCCACTGCCACTCTCGCTGTCATGTTCCCGAATTACTGGAACCGGACGCTGTGACTGAGCAATCTTGGGTTTCACAGGTGCGTCTTGTCTGGCAATGGACTTGAGGGCGTTTGAGGCGGTAGATTGGTCGATAACTTCGTTGCGAGTACCGGCGTCTAGCTTCTGAACTTCTCTGATAAAGTCCTCCTTGGTCATGCGTCTACCAACACCGCCAATGGTGAATCTGATTTTCTTATCGTCGTCGTCATCCTGCTGTTGTTGGGCGACGCTTTTGCGCCTAACCCCGTCACCACGTTGACCAAAGCCAGCCCAGCCAGGTTTGAATTGCGGCTTGTTTGATGATTCGACGCCTGCCTGGCCTTCTTCCGCAGCAGCAGCAGTATTTTTTTCGCTTGGACGGGCGCGAGCACCCAGGCCAAGATACTTGAGGCTTGCACCAATCAGATCGCTCTCCTGCCCGTCAGGCTTGGACGAAGGCAGCTCGTAGGTCTTGACGACCTCACCGTCTTCATCCTCGACAATAATCTAAAGCAAAAGGGTCAGTGGCCGCCACCAAACACACACACAAAGCATGGAATTGGCGCAGGGAACTTACGGTGTTGCCAAATTGGTAGGCACGGGCTGGCTCATGTCGACGATCGCTCTTGCCTTTGTCCTTGCGCTTCTCCAGTTCCGACGTGTAATATTCGCTCATCTTACGACGCCAACCTCCATGTCGCCAGCCAGACGATGCTTCACCCTCTGGTTTGGAACTGGCAGGTTGGTCTTCTTTCTTCGTCTTCGAATTTCGATCCTGTTCCCCTTGCGGAGTAGGCTGCATGTCGATCACGTCGCCATCTTCGTTCTCAAACACAAGATGGCTGCCTTCATCATAAACATTAATTTGAGGTGAGTGATCACGAGGAGATTCACCGTGCTCATCCGTTTCACCCTGCTTCTCAGTACGTTGCTCGTCGGAGAACATGGTAGAGTCAGTAGTCTCCCGCGTTGGCGACGATGGCTCCTTCTCTGATGCCTCGGTTTGCGAAGGTCTGTTAGGGAAGATGGCTGACTGGCTGATCGGTCCTCCAGGCCCAATTCCATCATCCCACTTTTTGTGTTTTCGTTTCCTGGATACAAGTGAGGAGGCACGACTGCCTGATCGACTATGTCCCTCCTCGTCTCTCTGCCGGCGCAAGAATCCTGTTGGTGGAGCAAGTGTGCCGGGTGGAAACTCTGGATCTTTGAGATCATCAAGCGAGGTCTCTGACATGGTCTTGGCCATGGACCTAGACTGCGATGATATTCTGGGCAACCTGTTCATCCACGAAGGGCCATCATCTGGAGCCGCGGTGTATGACATGGTCAGCGTCAAGGTGTTGATCCGCTTTCCTAGAGTGAAGACGGCTATTGACGACCCATGGATGAGAATGGACGAGATGACGAGAAACGTCACAATAGGCCATACAAGGTAGATAAGAGCAAAATGAGGTGCACTTGGTGGAGGCAATTCTCCCAAAGGCACTGGCTCATCATGCTCCAATTCCGCTCGTGCAAGAATGGCGACAAAGATCGCGCCGACGCCTATGGGGCCAAAATGTCCTGCAAAGAGCGCCTCTCTCCAATTCTTAACATCGGGAATGAATGGTTTGAGTGCCATCATAATGGGAATGCGGCGGAAAAGAAGAACAAATATGGCAATAACGACGAGACGCCACGCTGCCATACCGAATGCACCGTCGTTGTACTGTTCCCAGGGAATAATGGTGCCGAAATAAACAAAGTAAGTCAAGTTGAGCAGCAAGTCAATAACGTTGGACACATGTGACTCCTCCGTCTTTTCGCCAAACCATCCGTCGTTGGAGAAGCCGACACCGGCTGCAAAGCCAACCAAGAGATCGTCCACGCCGAGAATACTGCCCGAGCCAGCGCAGAACAGGGCTACGACAAAGTAGAAGACAAGAAAGCTTTCGCGGTCGATCAAATCGTGGGACTCGGCATACTTGATGCCGTGACGAGCAATGTAGCCAATAAGGAAGCCATAGACAGCGCCAAAGATGCACTCGTACAAGACGACATAGACGACAAAGTGAAAACTGACATCTCCGGCATTTCTGTTGTATTGGATGAGAAAGAGAGACAGGTAGATGAAGGGGAACGCCATGCCATCATTGCACCCGGACTCGGCAGAGAGAAGATCTCGCAAATGCTTCGGGACCCGTTTCGCAAACTTGCCTTTACCAACAACGGATGAGGCCAGAACAGGGTCAGTAGCAGTTACGCATGCTGCAACGACGAGAGAGTCAAGCCAGTTCAGACCCGGCATCATCCACCATACAAATAAGCTGGTAAGAAGCCATCCTACGGTCATGACCGGGACTAGAAGGAAAATGACGGATTTCCAGTGCTTCTCCATGTAAAATTTTGGAAGTTCAACACCGACGGCGAAACACTGAACGACGAGGACAATACGAGAGAATTCAACGGTGACAATATCGGTATTGCCCCAAGAATTGGGGTCAATAAGATTGGCAACGTGAGGTCCAAAGATGACACCGCACAATGTAGCAACGGTAGCTTCACCAATATACATGCGCTCTTTGATGAAGGAAGAGCAGAGCATGAACAGCGATGTAAAGCCACCAAGAATGATATACACCAAGTGCGGCTTGGTGATATCAAGTTGCTCCCAAGCCATCCTGGTGGTGGTTTGCGCGACCAAGGACGGGCTGAATTGGTGGTGTATTTGTCGGGATTCGGAAGAGTTCTTTTCGGCCTCAAATTCCTGAACCTAGGAGACCTAGTCACGTCCAAGGTCCTGGCGTGAAGCGCAAGGAAGGTTGCTGTTGCTTTCCCGGCAGAGTCGGCCCTGAGGTAGTGTTGACTCGGCGCCGGCCAATCGATCTCGAGCCGGAGAGGACGACGGTAGGATACATGCAGAGGGACTCTTCTGTCGAAATGGGAAACAGGAAAACGGCGTTCACTCTGCCCAACAAATGAATCGGCGCAGACTCTAATTGGTCTTGGCAAGCGATGTCGTCTTCGGTTTAAGACGACAAAAATGATGTCGCAACAAACGAGTTGGCACGGACGGGTATCGCGGAGTCGAGACAGATGCAGCAGATGCTTGATTCGAAGGTCAGAGGCAAAAATGTGTCGTCACTCTGCAGGCGAGATGGGCGAGGCCAGGGGACGGGACCGCCGATGGACCACAGAAAGCTCAGAAACAAAAACAAAGTCGACAAACCAGCGGGGCGGGTCTCAGCCCGGAGAATCGGAATGGGTCTCAAATGGTCTCCCGGTCGCAAGTGCTGTCTGAGTGGTGCGGCTCTTTGCGAAGTGACGCAAGGGCAGCCACGGCTTCAGGCGTAACCGTCTCACCTGATCCGTCGGTGGTGAATGGGAAGGGAAAGTTGGGACTGAAAGAGACCAGGATATGGAGAAGGACGACGAGAAAAAAAAAACCAATCTGCTGGCGATTACGAATTATTATGCATGCACGCACTTTGACGTTTAGAAAGTTGGTGCTTGCAAGAAAATGGTCCAGCCAAGACTTTTGGATCCATCAGATCCGGGATGAAAATTGTACGGCACGAATCAGAGTGGACAGATAAAAGAGTTTGGAGGCTGGCCAACACCAGAAACTAATATGGTGCCGGTTGGTGCTAACCATGGATGGGCCGTGACTCTGTGAGAGGCAACGAGATGCATGGAGCAACAATTGGGGGACCACCGAGTGGAGACACATGGCCAAGGCGTGCCGTGGCAGCGTGGATGGTGCTCTCGTCGATGTATTACGGCGCGAGTAGGGCAAGCCAGACGCCCAAGGACAAAGTTGATTTGCAAGTCGAGGCCGAAGTGTCACTTTCAGACCGGTTTGACCTCGCAAGGTATCACAACTCGGCATCCCGGCACGGAACGGACGGTACAGCACGCTCTGTCATTCCTCCATCTTGAATGGCTACAATGCCAAATACGAACAACTACCGGCGTGTCCTTGCAGCCGACCGCCGGAGATGTCGTTTCAGCTCTTGAATGCCACCTTGAACTGTCCCTTGCGCGCTCTGTCGTGGCGTCACCACACCGGCGCCGCGGCTGATGCTGGAGTCCTGGACTATGGCCGGTCAGCCTCTCAGCCAACCGGCGCCTGTCCTTGATCTGGGAACCCACGACGATTTATGCTTAACTTTACTTTTGGATAGCTGTGGCATCCCTGGAGGCCTAATAACAAAACCCCAACGTGCCCGACGACCATTGTCGCCCGCCCTCTTGAAACTGAGTCTCCGAGTATTCCCGCCAAATTGCAGCTCGATCCCGCTCCCCCACGATGAACAAGTCGGTGATGAGCATTGTCGTAAATCCCCCACTCGTGGCACTCGCATTTGCCTGTAGACTGTCCATTCAAGGCGGAAGCTGCAAGCCGAAAGGAGAAAATCGCCCCCCCGGTGAGCGGTGATTTGTGCCCACAGTCCCCCGCCTGCTGCGAGATTGGACACGAGCAGGTAACCAACCCAGGCCTGTCTCTGTACGACAGATGGAGTCTTCGAGCCGTCTTCCACGTGCCGGACGCGAGCCATGATAGAGTGCAACGCTGTCTCCAGCCCACGTGAGTCAAGACTTGTACTATATCCGATTCAGCAAACGATACCAGAGAATGGATCAAGGTGCCTCAACTTCAAGGAGCTCCAAGGGGCCTCCCTGCTTCTTGTTGTGAAAGCTCCCGCCCAAACCTTCAGCAGAGGAAATACTACCTATTTTGACAAGACTCCTCTCAGACATGCCGAGGAAAATGCATGCCAGCCGGCGTCACTCCACAATCAACAGCCTCTTATCTTCCCCCACGCAGAGCTGCCAAGATGTAGAGAGACGAAAAGGGACCAGCTGTTGCCTGCCAAACACCCGAACCTATCAAGCATCTGACCAGCCCGCCCGTTTCCCCAGAACGAAGCAGCAGAATCAGACATCGCCCAATGGTAATCGTCCGGCTTACATGTCGCGCGGTTGGGCGTCGAGAAACGGCATCTCATGACACCAGGACAAACGCGCGACTCTCGAGTCATTTGGTAATGCGCATGGGACGCGTGCCGTAGACGGCTCCCTTCTAATTCGGGACAAACCGCTTCTTCTTCTTTGTTTCGGTCACTCAGTGATCCCTGCATATTGTGTGGCGGTGAAGATGCCCCCCGGCATGTTATACATGGCTGTGGCTTGAAACACAATGAACCTGAGCGAATCCACAATGCTTCATTTGATAGGATAGAAAGAAGCTACATATAAGCATCGATAATTTGAGAAGCTGAGAGTCTTGGGCATCGGTGTGGTTGAAGACCAAATATGTCTGCTAGCGTTATTTTGCCAGAATCACGTCGGTGATGACGCGAGTTGCGCGTGGCCTCTCCGTTCGCAAAGCAATATGATGGGCGCAACTGATTTTGCAGTATTAAATTGATGCCATCTACCCGCCTGCTTTTTCTCATCTTAAAAGTACGTATTCTTAAAGTATCCATATTGGCACGGAGAAATGCATCAGCTTACAGTGTCCCCGCGCCTGATTTAGAACAACATAACTGTTTTTAAAACAATTCTCGCCATGTCGGCGAGGCTCTGGACCAGAGGCGAATACGTCCGTCAGCGGCGTTTTGACTGACATTAATTACTCCAGGATTACATAACCTTAATTGATACTATCCTACCCTGTAAAGGCCAAGGCCACAAATGCTTCATCGGGGTCTTCCTAATTTGCGTAGATCTCATACACGTAACAATTCATCAATCTTATACATTATTTCTACACTCGCATACGCAACTCCAACCATCCAGGTAACCCGGGTATAAAGTCGTCTATTAATCTCCCCATTGGTGTATCCAGCGCCGTGCACATTATAGTATGGCTCTCTTTCCAATGGACACCCTCGATAATCCACAGCTTTCATCCGTAACTTCATCAATTCACATTCACGTACATTGCTAGGGCAAAGGAGAGTATCGCAAGCATCTTTGAGAGAAAATCGATGGACTTTTGCGACGCGGTTCCCGGTACAAAGTCAAAAGGGCTCCCACCTCCTCCAGGTGGCTGTGTACGTCGAGGGGGACGTTCGTCGCTTGATGAAGACGTAGCAGTACTCGTCGTAGTCACTTGTACTCCTGTGCTGTCCACCGGTATCCTTGATGTCGTGGCTATTGACCCTATGGTAGGGGTTGGTGTTGACACATCGCCATCATCTTCGTTCGTTGAGGACGTAGTTGAGGACGCAGTCGAGGTCGTAGTTGGCGTCATAGTCGATGTCATAGTTGGGCTCGGTGTAGGTGTAGCAGACGTGGTTGACGATGGCTTTGGCTTGGTAGTGGGTCTAGGCGAAGTTGGCGATGGCGTATCGAACGGTATTCTGGAAAAGGTCCCCGGCCGTGGAAAGCTAATTGAGGAACTGGCTCGCACTGCTGTGGGTGACTGCCTGTTCCCGCAAATCGTAATTACGAGCCTTCCCTGTTGTGCCTGGTCTAACAATGAGTTTGACCCAGTCCGGGCCAAAGCGCATGAGTCCTGAATTTTCGTCTCTACTGCCAGAATGTTGTCTATGCAGGTGGACGAGCACATTTTGCCTTCGCCAAAGTCTTCCATGGAGCAACCTCGCAGTGGTGTGTTGTATGCGAAGGCGCATTCCAAGGGTAATGACATGGTGGATATTGACTCGAAATTTTCCAGCGTTAAGAGTGAGCCCGATGCCTCCATGGCCAACAGCAGCACCATGCAGAAGGAATTCGCTAGTTTAAACAGACTCCTTGCCATTACCGGCAACTGCACAGGCGTGAGGCCGTACCGGTTGATGTTATTTGGTTGAAGTTGCCACCTCCAGATGCAATCCGTCACAAGAATGATGTGGAGTCGAAGGGTAAATATGACTGGCAAATAACTAGTTGTTTCCAGAAAAGAAGAAAAAAAGAGCTTATGGGTCCTAGAACAGTCCGTAGACTAGAAAGTCGAAAGGTCGCTCTTGAAACACCTTGTGTCAGAAACGGAGGGAATATGACGAAGTGATGTATTCGGAACACCAGGCGCCGATCTTGGGCCAGCGGGATCTACAGTCCCACAGGTTTTGGTCCTGCGTCAGGTCCCAAGTCACCTCTTTTTTCTGGGTGAGCATGCTTTAGCTGTTGATGTTTCCAAATAATGGAATATGAAAATCATACGAACCAGTAACGCCGCGCTTGTCGTCTGAAGCGCCAAGCCGGGAATATGGGGAGCGAGACAAGAGTAAAGACGACGTGTAAGTTTCGGCTCTTATAGCTCCCGTTATGTGTCCTCTACCAAGCGGATTGCAGAAAAGGCGTTTGCCAAAGGCTCACTCAAGTCTGCGGTCTGTGACGTCGTGATGGTTCTCCGTTATCCAGTTTCGGGATCTCGGATGGCAACAGTTGGAAACAGCATAAAGTCCCCCTTGGTATGAAGAGCAAGTGTGAGAGGAGGAGAGAAGATAAAATAAAACATGTGTAGGATGAAGACAAGAAAGGTGGCAGCAGGTGGGAAAGGATGGCCCTTTCCTTTGCCACGCTATCGGAAGGGGGAGTCACACTCATTTTTTGCGCAACAGGGGATAGGAACGAAACGATAACGACACTGTGAGAGAGGAATCTGTTTCCATCTCGATTCTAGCTCGATCAGCCACGCTTCTGCGGTAGGACAATGGAGCAATAGCCAGTACATGTGGTGGTGGTGAAGACGGAACGAAACGAGATGTGTTTGAGGGCCGAGGCAGGATCCGTGAACAACACACGCTATTGGTGGGAGCGGGCGAACACAGTGTCGATGGAGTAATCCACACGGGCACCAGGAACACCATCCGCAGAGGGAGGAGCAACTTCACCCTGAGGAGGGCATCGCGGACAAGCAGCAAGATGGCGCTCATTCGTCTGGCAGCCAGAGAGAAAACGGCCAGCGCTAGTTCCCTCGTCGCGTCGGGTGCTTGCTTTTTTTTTTTTTTTTTTTTTTTGGCAGACATGCGAGATGACGTGCGAACAGACAGCGAATGGGGCGCGTGTGAGAGATTTCCAACAACTTTAGCCGACCCGGAACTCCCCCACGGAATCACGGACGCTTGCTTTCACGCCATGGGCACGCTCAACTTCGGAAATCGCCCCTCCCTTTGGACGTCATAATGCGGGGATGCTTGCGCTGATGGCCTGGCCATGGACTGGTGGTCAATGTTCGCCGTTCGCCGTTCGCTGTTCGGTATCTCGGGTCCGGCAGTGAGCTGCGGCAATCACTCACTGCTTTATCCACTGCGGATGCGGAATCTGGGGTCAACTCCTTCTGTGGCCAGGTCTCAGCCGAGGATTGCCGTGATCCGAATGATATCAAATACCTAGGCGCCCGAATCGTTGGCCATGCCAAAGTCAGGACCAAAAAGTTACGGCTTTGGTGGCAAGAACCCAAGGGCAGCGACATACCTTCCCAGGTATTCCTCCGTACGTGTTTGGGATAAGCCACAATGTACTTGCTCTTGATCTTGGGCGGCGCCCTGGTTGCCTTTGCTCTTGCATGGCTGTCTTCAGCCGTCATCACCGCCGTCTTCTCCCCACTGCGATATCTCCCTGGACCCTTCTGGGCAAGGTTTACGCGCCTTTGGTATGTTAAGCGTGTTTACGAGGGACACTTTGAACATGACAATATTCAATTGCATCGTCGGTACGGCCGGGTTGTGCGCATTGCCCCCAACATGTACAGCATCGACGCACCGGAAGCCGTGGGCACAGTCTACGGCATCGCATCCAAGATGCCAAAGTCGGACTGGTATGAGGGTTGGAAACACCCATCGCCCGACCGTTGGACCTTGTTTCCGGATCGAGACATTCAGAGACACGCAGAAACCAGAAGGCGATTCCAGGGCCTCTACAGCATGTCGAGCTTAGTGAGCTATGAGGTTTACGTCAACGAGTGTACCGATATTCTGCAGCGACGACTCTCCGAGTTTGCTAGACACGGTTCCATCATTGACATGACGCACTGGTTCCAGTGTTACGCATTTGATGTCATTGGTAACATCACTTACTCCAAAAGATTCGGCTTCCTCGACCGTGGCGACGACGTTGATGGCATCATGAGAGCCCTGCATGGATCCATGATATACAGCACCTTGGTAGGCATCTTCCCGGCGTTGCACAAGTACCTTTACCACGCCATGAACAAACTAAATGTCGGCGGAGCTGTCGGGAGAACATACCTCATGAAGTTTGTGGGCGAAAGAATCCAACAGAGAAGGTCGGAAAGAGGTCAATATGCAGACAAATCCGTCTCCTTGGATGAGAATGCTCCTCAGGATTTTCTCGAGAAACTCATGGTTCAAAATGAGGACAATCCGCAAAAGGTTACGTCATATCACCTTTTCATGATGGGGCTCTCCAACATTATTGCCGGCGCCGACACCACGGCAATCAGCCTTTCGGCAGTTTTATACCACTTGATTCGAAATCCAGACTCTTTGCAGAAGCTAAGAGACGAGGTCCAGCAGCGCTTCTCGGAGGGTCTCTTTGATGGCACGCACTTGACATTCAAGCAGAGCCAAGAAATGCCGTATCTGCAGGCTGTCATCAAAGAAGCTCTTCGACTGCACGCTGCGACTGGCCTACCGCTCTGGCGGGTAGTCACGGACGGCGGCCTGGAGCTTGACGGACATTTCTTCCCTCCGGGTTCGGTTATTGGTCTCAACACTTGGGTCGCGCACTACAATGAGGACGTGTTTGGCCCTGACGCGAAGCAATTTCGGCCAGAACGGTGGATCGAGACTGATGATAATGGAGCTGATATAAAGGCCATGAACGCATATTACTTGCCGGTGAGTAACAATCATGTGGCCATCGGCCTTGGCAGTCTGCTAATCGTTTGTAGTTTGGTCTTGGGTCGCGCACATGCTTGGGTCGACACATTTCCTTCTTGGAAATGTCCAAGCTGATTCCTCTGCTGGTGAGAAACTTTGACTTTGAGCTGGTTGGTAGGCGAGATGCTTGGAAAACCGAGAATTACTGGTTTGTCAAGCCGACAGACTTCTTCGTTAGGGTTGTAGATTGCAAATCTTGAATAAGATTTTCACGTTCACGGAGCCCGAGATGGCATGGAGACTGGCAACAGTGACCAAATACATGACAAACTCCATCTAGTAGTTGTGTCTAGGTTCCCGAGCGTAGAGCTTGTCCCCGAATGAAATGAGCACAGCGTTACATTAGGCCATTCCAATAACATACAACCATGGCTTATAATATCTACACAAACCCGCAATGGTTCCATTCGTCATAATCTCATGAATTAAAAAAAAAGGCAGATAAAACATACCAGCACTGGGGCCATGGCCATGGAGAGAAAAAAAAAAGGCACTTTTACGCCGCGGCCAATATCACAGCGCATATGCCCAGAGCCACAACAGACACGATACTCGGCCTCAACAGGGCCGCGGCGGATATCTCCCGACCGACCTCGTCTCCAAACCGGCCGATGACATTCCCCCTCGGCCAGTACTCGCACACGAGATACCACCCGGACTCGCCGCACAGGCGCCTGCCGCAGCCGACGGCAGTGGTGCTCTTCCACACCAGCTGCGTGAAGTGGCCCGTGTCGTGCGCGAACCGCGGGTCCCCAAAGTCGAAGCGGTCCCTCTCGTCGCCCCAGGCCTCGACGCTCGCCGTGGCGTTGGGATACCCCTCGGCCAGGTTCTCGCCGTAGGGGCCGCCCGAGTGCTCGAACCGGCAGCCGCTCCGCGCGAGGTGGTCGGCGGCAAAGGACGCGAGGGTCTCGTTCCACGAGACGGCGGTGGCGTTGTGCTCCCCGCGGTAGAAGTTGGTGCTGTTGAGGATGGCCGACGTGAACGTGTCGGCCGTCTTCCACTGCGGTTCGTCGGACGGGATGGCTGGGGGAGCGGTGATTGTCACGACGGCCGAGAGGCACAGCCGCGGGAGGAGCGATGGAGCGACGAGTGCGAATGACGGCTTCATGGCGAGTCTGTCTGCGGATAGAATTCAGGCGTTGCGGTGTTGGTAAGAATCATGCAAGCAGCGAGGTTGCTGCATTACAAGACGAGCAAGCACCGTCTGGACAGGAGGATCGAGGGGGGCCTGTTACTGATCTTCTGGACGGTCAGGTTGATGCGGTTGGTTTTAAGGAAATATTCCCTTGCTCTAGGGGAATGAGAGGTGTTGTGTAGTCGTGACGTAGGCACGTCGCCTCTCCGCGTGGGCAAGGGACTTCATTGATGCGAGCAGAAGCCGGGATTCCACACGACGCAGCGAGTTTGAAATGCCGCCGTTGCCAATTCGAGGGGGCATTGACTGGGTCTGACGCTTTTCTTCTCTGACACGGGGAGAAATAGACTCGTGTGAATATTGAACAATGAGGAGTTGCAACTTGCATGAGGTGGAACACGGCCGGGGTGGCTGGCGCTTAGCAAAACGCATGGATGGCTGGACAGTTGCCGCGAATGGAGTATTGCTGTGCGTATCTAACGTTATTTTTATTATTTAGTACTTGCTGTTTCTTTGAGTTCTGTGCATGACGGAAAAGTGCATCTTGGGTCTACTTGACTGACGCTGGATGGCACAAAGGAGGGTCAACCCTCCAGGCATGCGGGCACATTGTGCATGGGGATCATGAAAGGCGCGGATAAGAAGGACAAAAAGAAGACAAAGGTTTTGAAAGGGAGAAATAGGCAAGGAATCCATTAAGAGAAAATACAAGAATACAGAAAAGGACAATAGGGGGCAGGTTAAAGACGAATATAACCGTGACTTAAGCGAAAGCGCCAAACTCGCCCAGTAACAATATACTACCTTTATATACATTTTCACACTATATTTA